GGGACTCTTGAGTTACAAACCTCTCGCCTTAAAATAAGCCCGGCTTGAGCAGGTAAGAACCAGCTCTACCTTCTCGTGCTTCACTCTGCAGCAAGATTCCGGAGCTTTCGGAGCATCCCCTTACCTGCTGGTCACCAGGTTGAGGAAACAGAGCTGAAAGAACGCCTGGAAACTCGTTTCCTACCGCTGTCAGAAGGACTTTTGCTGCGTGTTGCTCTTGCAAAGCACCTCCAAGCTCTCTGCCAAAGGTGCTGCCGAGCTGGAAAGAATAAACCTGGAAAGAGAGCAGGGAAGGGGAGGGAGCACAACGCTACGGTGTCCTCCAGCGAGGACTGAGCGTTAAAACAGGGTTAAAACAGCTCTTGCTTTCCTGAAAACTGACAAACGGTTTGGTTTTCTGTCTGCGTGGTCAACAATCCCCCGTTCCAGGGGCTGAGTCACACCTCAGGAGCTAAATCGTGTCCCCGACGCGTTTACGTGGCACAGAGGGACTCCGAGAAGGGCCGCGTCCCTGCTCCGTCTTCTAATCCCCGATGTGCAAACAGAGCGGCGTTTGGAGGGAAAAAAAATAAAAATAAATGAGGCTCAAAGGTACAAAGTTTGTTTGCTCCTTTGCCTCCCCGAGGTTAGATCCATTACTCACTCAGGGTGTCACGCCGGGCTTAGCCAGGTGCAAATAAAGAGTTTGGCGCTGGCCGGGTTCCGATTCCTCACTCTCCGTTGGAAGAGGGTGAGTTGTGTAAGTTTGCCCGTTTCCCGGTGAGGGCCGGGAGCTGCTCCGCGCTCCTTTCCCACCCTCCGTGCGGTTTGGGGAGAAACCTGACGCCGGTGAGGTTTGCATCCTCTCTTTTCCCTGCTCCCCCCCTTTCTTTTCCTAAGCTGCTTTCACACCTCTTCGAGAGAAGCTGAAAAGAGCTGAGACCACCGGCTTTAAAAACGTTCTTTTTTTATTCTGAAAATACCAGTGCAGAAACTGAGTCACATTCTTCAGCTGCGTTACACGAACCCGGTCCCCAGTGAGTCGACGGGACGGTTTATTTTTTGAAGCCACGGGTACTTTGGTACAACAGAGTGACACCGAACAACCGGTAAAGCAAGCGCCACGGTCCAGGCGAGGGGCACCTCTAATTGAAAACAAAAAAAAAACCAATTTATTTTTGCTCAAGGTAAAGTCTCACTCACACTCAGGGCACGAGGCGGAGCACAGAGCGGGGTGAAGAACGTAAAACGTGCTGCCGGGAGCGTAACCCTGCCCAGGCGATCGATACAGGACGCTCAGGGTTGATCTGGAAGGTGAAAGATGCCCAAAACTGCAGAAGAAACGATTTAACTTCGCTTAAGTCGAGGAAAATGTTAAGATACGCTTTGCCCATTAAGCCACGAGGAGGACGGACGACGTCGAGGTCTCGCTTTCTAAAAGTTTCACTAGGCGAGCCGACGGAATAAAAGCAAAGAATCATTTCCTCCGTTGCTTTTAACAAGTTCAGATGTAAAAAAATAAAATAATTAGAAATAGATCTGCCCAGCATCTAAAAATAATCCCAAAACAACAGCAGCCTCGTTAAAAAAAAAATCAACAAATTTAGCCTACGCGGGCGAGTTTTGTTTCCTGGAGGATGGTTTATGTTTAAAGTAGAATTATTAAGGAAAGAAGCTGTGAAAATTTGGTTTTCAGGAGGCCTAAAGCCATGTCTCTTAGCAGCCAGGCAAAAAACTATTCATTTTAACAGCTTCTCTTCAGCAATAACACTTTTTTTTCCCCCCCCTTCTTTTCTTTGTAAGTAAGAGCAGGGTCTGAAACTCCTACAGCGTTCACACCAGTCCAAAAATAGCAGTCGCTCGAGGTTATTTTTAATGCTTTTCTTCAGCTCTAGTGCCAGGAACACAAATTTTAAAATAGCAGCCCAGATTTTATTTTATTTTTCCCAAAGGTTAGGCTGAAAACATTCATTATATCCCCAGACTGAAACAGTTTGAGGAGATAAAACCTCTTCTAACAGTCCTGCTCTGGAGCAGGTACCAAAAATCTCATTTAATGCAACTTTATTCTAAAAAAGTTTGCAATCTGAGCCTCTAAAGTGTAAACATAACACCCCTCTACACATTCATGATGTTAAACGAGATGCAGCCTTCAAATAAAAAACTGAAAAAACAACAGTTAAGGCAATTGGTTCTTACAAAGTTGCCAAGCAAGGACCTGGCAGCTGCTCTCAAATTTATCTTTTGCTCCATCACCCTTGCGAGCAGTCAGCAAACTGCCCGTTCTTGCCTCGTTTCCTCTTTTAAAAAAAATAGTTTCAGGCACCCAAACCCCTTTTTTTTCTTTTTAAGAGAAGCTGCTGCAGCCACAGTTTGGCACCTCGCGGCTGAGCGGAGAGTTGCTCCCCTGCTGCCGAATTATTTTAGCTGGAAATGAGTCATTAGAACGAAGGGAGGGAAAAACACAGAAACCCCCCCCAAAAATGACGCGCGTTACTAGCCGATCGCAGATAAAACATCTCCTAAAACGAAAGCAGCAGCTGAAATGGTTGTGAAGCCCAACATACCTGCCCCTCAGCCGGTTTTAATGCCATGAACGGGTGTTGCTACACATCAGCAAGGGATTCTGTAAGGAATTCTGGGGAGCATCTACTCAAAACTGAGTCGAAAAATAATGATAAATACTCTCCCGGCCTTTTCCACTCACAGGAATAATTTTCTTCGCAGCCAGACGAGTTTTAATGCCATGAACGGGTGTTGCTACACATCAGCAAGGGATTCTGTAAGGAATTCTGGGGAGCATCTGCTTCAGCATCTCAAAACTGAGTCGAAAAATAATGTTAAATACTCTCCCGGCCTTTTCCGCTCACAGGAATAATTTTCTTCGCGGCCAGACGACACGTAAAATACTAAAAATAAGCTTGTATGGCTGCGGATGCTCCTGGGATAGGTGCTTCCGCACACGTTTTGGTTTTCATTTTAAATTTGAGCTCGTTTCGCTCCTCACTCCACAAAAACGCTCAAGGCCCGACTCAACCGAGCACTTACACACACGCGAACCGGACTTTGGCACCGCAAAGATTCGGCGACGGGTTTCCTCCACCAGAACGGCCCCAGAAAAAGGCTGCGTTTTTCTATTCACTCTTAAAAATGAGAGGACAAAAACGACCCGTAGGGCAGGAAGAAGTGACCACAGCGAGCTCTCCGAGAGGCGTGACGCCGTCACGCACGGGATTGAACAACACCAAGAGGATTAAAGGGAACGGATTCAGCAAGAAGTCCGGGAATTTGACTCGTCTTGGTAAATAAACGATCTGGGTTTGTGCTCCGAAGCAAACACGTGCGATTCAATTTTTGCAACGGCACAATTTGGATTCAAGTTTTTAGCGGGATGGGACGAGGCTACGTTAAGCTCCTCAGCCCATCCTTCGCAGCAACTCCAAGACATACCACTATTTTTTTATTGTTTTTAAGGTTTTATGCTGCATCTTAACAAGCAATCCAACTTCACTTCGAAGTAAAAACGGAACCTCCAGCTTATACGATCTCAGGCAAGCGAGAAATCTATTTGAATATCAGCCAGCCTTACTTCAATCTTCTGCCTGTCGAGTATCACAAGAGCTTTCCCACCTCTTGAGGTGTCAGAGCTGCTTCTAGCCTACAAAAGGACCCACATTTTACCTGCTTCTAATATATATATTTGATGTAGCCTTTAGGTAGAGCCTATTTTACCATTTATATCATCTTTACAGACTGCAAGTTGGATTTCTGGCAGCTCTTTGGTTACTCACCCGAAGGCTCTAGAGCATCTGCCCTGTTAACACGCCAAATCAGCTCCTAAAATCCTTTTAGGAGCCAGGCAGAAAAAAACAAACAACACAACCCTGTTCTATTTTCTGCAGCGAATCTGGTAAATCCGCTGCCTTTGGGAAGCGCCGCGACCTTTCGCTCGCTCGCCCTCCCAAACCTGGCCCTTTCGAACCGATCCGAGCCGGAAACACGTCAACGCGCCGAAGCCAACGCGACCGATTACGCCCGACTCGCCGAGAGATCCGTCTGCCCCCTCGATCTGCCGCCTCCCGGCGGATTCCCAAGCAGCTCGAAGCGCAACAGACCTTTAGCTACCACGTGTGCGAAAACAGAACGGTCATCCTGCAAAGAAAGGATGGGCTAAGCTAATAAATAAGCTGTAAATTGGCTTAGAAAATGATCTAGATTTATAAATATAGCATTTTCCTTTCGTTTTTCCCCCGTATTTGCCTTTGCTCCTGCTAATTTTCCTCGAGATGAGGAGGGGAGAATATCTTTTGCTTACGGGGAATGTGTCATTTCAGAAAATATAAGTTACTCTCTATTCCCATACTCTCTTCCCTATAAACTTGGGATTTTTCCCTGCTTGGATTCTTGGCAACACGAGCAAATGCTGCACAATTCCCTGATAGTTTTGGTTTTTTTTGCTCGAACTCCCTCCCTGCAAACCCAAACCACACACACGCGACCCCCATCCACCCTCCAAACCACCCTTATCTGTGATTCAGCAGCTTCGCTCGCCCGGTGCAAGCGATCGAGTCCCTGATGCAGCTCGAGAATTTGAAAGAAGGAGGATTCTGTGGGGGGAAAAAAAACGGGCCCAGACCTAGAAAACCACCCACCCCCCTTTGAATTTCAGTAGCCGGTGCACGCAGACAACAGGTTTTTAAAAAAATAAAGCTACTTCCCTCTCTTCAGTATCCTGATCGCGCGAAAAATAAAGATGAGGGCCGGGGTCAGGGGCGGGGAAAGGAGAGGGGAGAGTTTCCCATGAGGATGGCGCCGCGTCAGGAAGAATCATTTCAGCACGAGAGCCTCACGGAAAAGCACAGCTTGGAGTTCGAAACCAGTTCTTTGGAGGGGAAAAAAAAAGAAAACGACGCACGGTCCCGCGAAAAACAACATATTTGCTTCGCTGGGTTGGAATCTGGTGGTAGGTCGACGCGCTTCTGACATCTTTTTGGCCGTTTCGCACAGTTTCGAGGTGCCGTTTAGCAGGCGCATCTTTTCTCCTCGGCTTTGGCCTCCTCCAGCTTTCCCGAGCTGCCTCCGTTGGCCGTGTCGGAGCCCTGAGTCTTGTCCACGCACTGCTCCATGCGCTTCATGATCAAGTCCAGGAGCGTGTCCACGGCCCTCTCCACGTTCTGCCCGGTAGCGGCGCTCGTTTCGAAGTACGGGATGCTATGGGGGAAAAAGAAAAGGATCACGGTGAGAGATTCTTCGCCAAGACTCAACTAACAGGGATCTCTCACCGTTACTGCCTCCCTCCCTTCCTTTCCATTCCTCAAGCTTCGCTGTTTCCATTCCAAAATCCCCTTTGAATCCTTCCAAGTCATTTTTTTTGGAAGAAAAGCCTTGTAGCAGTAGTTCCATCACGTGAAAGGCGGCACAAGCTAACTCCTCCTCGGTATCACTGCTCTCACCTGGCTGCAGGCACCTCTTTAATATCCTTTCAATATTTCCAATTTGTTTTTTATTCCTCAGGACTCTTTATTAATTACATTACACACTTAGAGGATGCTCTGCAGGCGTTCTTAGCGCACAGAAATGTAGAAGGCTCACGACAAGAAGAAAAAAGGCTGTTAACAGCTTCACCAGCCATCAGGAAAAACCCAATAAATTCAGCGCTGCAGCTACAACCTGACTAAAATCCATTTCCAGAACAGAAAAGCAAGTTATAAACCCTGGTATTTAGTTTGTGTCACTGAGTATGCCTTGGATATACTCTGTCTTGATCTCTCAGAACGAGCCAACGTCCCAAGAATGTAGTTTTCTAGTGAGAACGTTTCGTTTCAGCCTTATTTCTCACATCCCAATGTTTTTGGTGGAACTATGGAAGGGAGTGTTTCATTCTATCTCAAACAGGTCGACCAGAAAGTGTTTCAAGTTGGATATCACTCCAGGTGTCTGTGATACTGCAAAGGCCATAAAATTTAGAGTTTAAGTACACTTGCAAGTCATCAGCTGCACTTAGGGACTGAATGTAGCGTCTGGCATCGTTTCCTTACCCATATTTGTCCGCCAGATCTTTCGCTTGCCTTTCGTTTACCTCCCTTTGGTCTGACAAATCAGCTTTATTGCCAATTAAGACGATATCTGGATTCTCACAATAGGCGTTGGCTTGCAGCTGACCTAGAAACAACAAAAAAGACAAAGGATTTAAGAGAATGTTCGAAGACCGTTGAAAAAAATCATTCAAATCACCTTCCTCGCTCCCCCACCTCCCAATATTCAAGCCGACCACTTCACGCCGAACGCTTTTCCTTCCAAAATGCTCTAAATATCCTCAATTAATACCAAACTTTTCAAGAGTTTAACCACTTTTACTCCAGCTGTTGTCCGGAGGGAAGCCAACAGCAGAGTACGCTATGCGCTTTCAAAGCAAATTCGCAAAGCCCGGTTCTTAATTTTAAATTTAAGCCTCAAAGCAGACGGGAAGGAATCCTGTGCTCTGCTTTACAAATCAAAACCACGAAGATAACAACACCATCCAGTTTTCCAAGCTCCTCTATATCACCTAAAATACAGGGTACGGCCAAGGAAGCATCACACGCCACGAATTTTGAAGCGGCAACAGATTTATCCGAATTGTGTCAAATCCAAAAGAGAAAATGCCCAAAACAGCCTATCATGAAGGAAAAAAAAAAACCACAAAATACACGTGTATCTTCCCAAATTGATGAGGTTTTCAGCCCAAATTACAAGCTGCACTAGACGTAACTATTTCCTTGGAGCGTTTTCCAGCTCACAAGCGACGACACACGTAAAGCTTAGAAGACAAAAATGCACGAGCAAGCTTCAAGCCGCCCGATAAACGATGGTTCTACTTACTCATCCAATTTCTGACGTTTAAGAAGCTCTGTTGACTGGTGAGATCGAACATGAGCAAGAAGCCCATGGCATCTCTGAAAAACGCCGTGGTGAGGCTTCGAAATCTGGAAGTGGCGGACAAAAAACAAAAAAGATGCTGAAGCGTTTGGCGTCATCGCAGATCGCGGCGACAGAAATGGATTCAGCTGCTCAGTCGATGGATGTGTTAAAGAGAATATCGAGCTGGTGTTAAAGAGAATATCGGAAAAGCTGGTGGCTTTTCTTTTTTTTTCCTGAAAAGAAACTGGTTAGATAAAAGAATCCTTCCCCGAAGGAGGATTCTGCTCGCTCGCAAACTTAACGGATGTCGATGAGGAAGACAAACCAAACCAAAAGCAGAAGATCAGAAGCGATTCTACCCAGCACTGGTAAGATTTGAACTGGAATTCTCTTCTGGAGGAGATCAGGAACACGTTACGAAGCCAAAATAACAGTAAAAACTGAAACAACAAAAAAAATCTAACCCATAAGGAGAATTGAAGAGATTTTTTGAGATTTTGCACCCGAACAGACTAATGGTTTACCCAGCAAGGTGGGAAAAAACCCCTCAGAATTGCTTTCCAATGACCTCACTTCCGTTACCTTTCTTGCCCGGCTGTGTCCCAAAGCTGGAGATGGACTTTGAAGGCTTTTCCTGGAGATCCATTTGGTCCTCTGCTGGTGTACACCTACCGAGACAGACGGATCAGTACAGCTCACACCGGGTCACAGCCTTGGAAAAAGTTCATCCCTCCAGTAAAAGCTGACTCTCACCTTCAGAAGCTACTTCAGATTGGTTCTAACAGCATTTGAAAACCCGGGAGCCACACGAAACGGCCACGAAAGCTGAACTTCCCAGATAATTTAGTGGGATTTAGAACTTCGAATTAGACGCCGATCCTTTAGAACCTGGCCCAGCGCTGTGCTGAGCAAGCTTTCTGCGTCGTGTTTAGAAAATGGATGAACCACTGTTATAAAAAGCTATTTTTTCTTCATTAACTTCTGCTGGGCATTAACGACTTCCGTGCTAACCGCAACTGCAAACTCACGGCGCTTAAAGACATCGCCGTGACCTTTCGTTGCGGCTCAATTCTTCATTAACACAGGGTAAATTAGCTGGTGCAGTCAAAGACAGAGGCGAAGGGAGGCAAAAAACCCCTCTGAGGTATTTCAAATCTGTTCAGATGTCGTTCCTCCCACGCTTACATCTCACTCCAAAACGGGCAGCGATGCAAAATTACAGAAGAACCTTTAGCAGAAAAGTTCAAGCCTCTGGAAAGAATCCAGCGGCCGTGTTCAAAACATGGTAACGAGCACCTGAGCAGCCAGGGAAAGGGTATTCCAGGAATTTGCATGTTTATTCCTTGGAATAAAACCACATTTTCAGTATTTTACCCTTATTACACCACTGCAGAGAAGGAGCCTGGTTCCACTGCAGCCTGAACTTTACCACCCTGAACTCACACAGGGCTTGATGATAATTAATAATAAACATTAGAAACAGTCTTTGGTTCTTACATTCACCCCACGAAGGGCTGAGGAGCACTTAAGTTTTGCGAAAGGTTTCTATCTTTCAGCTGAGAATGTTTTTCTATTTCTTTTGATTAAGGAAATAATTGCCCAAGGTTTAATATCTTATATTTGTTACGGTTTACTGCTCAAGCGAGCTAAGAGGATTCCCGTTAAAAAGCTGAGTTTGTCCCCTACATTTAGCCTTTATTTGTCAGGATCTGTGAAGAGACATATTAGTCCCATTAAATAAAAATAAACCCCTCAAAATGCCACTAAAAGCATCTGACTGACACTATGGAAGACTCTCATATTCTGCTTAACAGCAGAAAACAGAAAAGGAAGGATCCTTTTATACTCATGTGCAATAAACCACTTCACAATCCAACAGCAGGGTAAGGACAACAGCGTTTTTCCTTTTTACCCAGTTCCTGTTTAGGATTTAAGTAAAAAACTAGACAAGGAGAAGCACTATCAACTCACTACACCCCTGGTAAGCCTTTATACGAAGTTTGTGCTCAGCAGAAAATGAAGAAAAGAAAAAAAAAAATTATCATTTGTACGACACAACTTACCACTCGCTTTTCCCGAAAATCTATCCCAACTGTCGTGATGAATTTTGGATTAAATTTGTTGTCCGTGTATCTGTACAGGAACGTCGTTTTGCCAACCCCAGAGTCTCCGAGGGCCAGGAGTTTGATCAGATAATCATAGTCTCCATCAGTCATAGTGCTAATTTTTAGGAACCTACGTAAAGAGGAAGAAAAAAACCCCATGATTTAATGATAACAAAAGATCTTGTTAATCCTCGGGGCGGAAGAACAGTCATTTCATTCAGATTTGTACCAAGACTCATTACTGCAGTGTCGGACTCTGGGCCATAAAAACTCCTGCCTGTTTCAGCAGAAGTTTTTAATTTCCATCAGAATAAACTCTGCCTTCCTGGGGCATTTAAATCAGCACGTTCTGACCCACTTTGAGCAAAAGAACGAACTCAGCCCACTTGAAACATTTCAAATCTGAGGAAGACAAAAAGCTGACTGTGCACCGAGCGGTTTCGCTGTACAAGACTGAGACAGAGGTGCCCAGAGAGGTGGGTTGAGATTCTGAGAAATTCACCTTCTGAGGAGAAAGGTTGAATGAATTTAGAGAAAAAAAAAGACCCTGACCTGATGGCACAGGGGAGGGGAAAGCTAAAGCACCGACACAGCGACTTCACGGAAGTTAAATTTCGAGGCTTTTCATCCTTTCCAGAATAACCCAAGTTTACCACAAGGCTCCACTGAGCAACAGGAATTTCTCCCCACAAGTCTGAGGATTCTCAAACTCCAAGCATTTCTGAGCGACGCAATTAACGGCTCTTCAGGCGTTTCGTTCCTCAGATCAGAAAACGATGGGAGTTAATTCTCCCCCAAATGCTTGATTGGCTGCACAAATTATTAATGTGGGATGCAGCAACTAAGAACTTGCTCCACGGGAACTTTGAGCATTAGGGTTTTAATTTCCTTTAGGATGAAAGAGTTAAAATTCGCGCTGACTACTAGTAGAGAACCAGCTAAGCACGACTTTAAACGTCTGTAATTAATTGGATTTGAAAATGCTGAAAGTTTCCCGACAAATGTTAACTTAAACAGGGCTCACAATTGGAGGATATAAATTCTAGGCCATATCTGAAACAAAAGTAAGGTTCTTCTGTGGAGGAGGTTTGGGGTTATTAAAGCCAAGAGACTTTATTTCAAGAGACTTTCTTCCAGAAAAATCTTTATATCAGGAATTTATTAACAAGGCTTTGCAATATCCTTCCTTCGCCTCTAATTCTAAAGGGCTCGATATATCGAGCTTCCGAAAACAAACAGCCTTGGGCTGTAACGCAGGATCTTGCACGGCTAAACCAAAGCAACTCCACTCAGGATTTCCATGACGACCTCCAGAACACACCCCTTCCCCACCCCGAAAGCGTCTCAACGGACTCCAGGCTGTAAAACCAGCGAGGGCGACACGTTTTGTAGCGACTCCACCACAGATTCCCAGCAGCCAGAGCAGCCAAAACCAGCAAGGGCTCTCCCACCATCGACCCCACACACCCGCAAGCACCAAAAAACCCAAAAAACCCAAAAAGCCCCAAAAAACCAACTTTCTGCTCAACTGGCACCGTCCAACCCGCAAGGCCGTGTCACCATGGTACCAACTAAGCTTTACAAAAACCCCAAGAGGCCTCCTGACTGTCCCTTCCCATCCTCTCTATCAACAGGGCCAGCAGCCAGAGGATGATGTGACGTTTCAAGGCTGCACAACTCGATGGAGCTTGATTTAAAAAGCTTTTTCCCCCGCCCTCCCTCGCCGCTTTCTTGGCAGACAAGATTCCCATCTAGACCAGGAGCGGTTATCTCGCGTCTCGATTGATTATTTTGTTCCTGATTATTTTGTTCCACTCCTACTTAACGTCCTCTAACTACAGGGGGAGAGACCATTTAAAATTGTCAGCAGATACTCCAGGGAACGTTTTCTTGATCGAGAGATGTGGCTTCACATAATCCTTTCGACATTCAGTTATAGCCTCCGGGGAGAGGAAAATCTACTCCTGGGGCACCGCGCCTTCCCTCTGCCGCTCTGCAAATCCCACCACACCGACGAGCCTCCCAAGGTTTGCACGCCCATCAGGAACACGGAGAGCTGCGGGAAGCAATTCTACAGTCGCGCGAGCTGGAATATCATCGAGGAAACATTACGTGTGAGGAAGTCGGCTGCAGAAAACAAAGTTTTATCCCCCTCAACGCACACGACCAGTTAAAAGTCACACAAAGTGGTGTATAGATAGCGCCGGCTCCAGAAAACGCCGAATAAAAATCACAGCATGCCTATCGTACCAGCAGCGGGTCAGCAAGAAATTCCTCCCCGAGTAGTAGCACCGCTCCGACTCACCCAAGTTTACATGTATTTTTTTTTAAGTGTAAGAACAGTAATATCAAACTCAGTGCTCTCCTGAAGGCCACCTCAGGCTGCAGGCAGCAAGGGCACGCAGAGAGGTGACCCCAACGTCAACTCGGGGTTTAAAAATACTTTGGAAAGGGGCTGAGAGACAAGTGGGCATTGACCAAGCGTAACACGGTACCACCAAGACCTGTTCTCATCCCCACAGACGTACCATTAACTTTGTGACAAGCCAAGAGTGGAGATTTCCAACGAAGCAAAGAGCAGAGAGGGAGGCAAAGCCGATCTGGAGAGAAGGGCAGGCTGCCTGCTAAGTTTCCTGTCCGAGTCACTTCTAGGAGACGAAAAACACTGATGGCAGCAGTTTCTGATGGAAAATCAGTGGTTTTATGTAAAAAGAAATCCATTATTTCTAGCTCTGGCTATCTTCCTGAAGAAATCACACAGGCTGGAGCAGAAAGACAGCCCGTGACTGACCTGGACGTGGCTGGTCTTCGAAGTTCTTCAGCTACATCCTTTGAACAGAAATGTAAAGCTCTGTAACACGAACGGAAAACCTCCCCTAGTCTTCTGCAGAAAATTTCTTTCCTCCGATTCTGAGTGGTACTAACCCTCCCCTAGTCACAACCAACTTAGCAAAGGGCTCAACTCTAGTCCCTCGTCAGCCTCAAAACCTCACGGCCTGTTGCTCTCTTACCGTGGGACGTCTCTCGCCAAACGCAGCATCCCAGAGAAAACTAACTCCTTAACACAGCCAAATTAGACACGTTTTCCCTCGGAGAAAGGATATACAGGCACATCTGCAACGCAAAGTGGAGCAGACAGACCGAAACTGAAGAGCATATTATCAGCAAGTAGCCTCGCAAGTCCTTCCTGAGTGGGAGAAAGAAGACAGGATATAGAAAAAGATAAGATAAAACCCCGTCCAGTCATCCCAGCATCACGCTATAATTTGTCTGCAATCATCTGCCGAAAAAGCAGAGCCTGACAGCTGCCAGACAAATGGCCCACAACGAGCCAAACGTTTTTTTTTCCCCCTCTCGAAACAAAATAAAATCAAACAACTCACTGGAGCTACGCTGAGACGAAATGAAAGCTGGCTCCTCTGCTCAAAATTAGACACATGTAAGAATTTTCATACAGGAGCTGGGAGCAACAATACGTAGCCAACGCGACGGTAGCATGAAAGAAATGATCTTTCCTCCTTTTCTTCCTCCCAGTGGAAACCCCCCGGAGGACCAGACGGATGCTTTCTGGCCCGGCTGCCTCGCAGCGTTGCGACGCAGACAGTTTCAGGCTTCAGGATGTAAAAGACTCTTGGCAAGCCACCTACAACTCTTTTTTAGTAAGCCAGGCTACCCTTTTGAATAAAGGAACATACATAAAACATACTGCCTTGTAGAAGTTCTTTAAATATATGGATGTGCAGCTTTCAGGCTGATCCCAAAAACACCCGACAAATATGCTCTTTTCCTCAAAAAGGGGATTTTTTTTAAGCACACTGGAAATTTAAAATCACTTGTAGCCAGGTCTAATAATATCTAAAATTGAACTGATCGTTTAAAGTTTTCTATTATTTAACAGACATTACCACATGGCTTTGCTGTCTCACCCGAAAAATTGCACTCTCAGATCATTTTTCAACAGAAGACATTTAACAGACGTCTGAGGAAAAGAATAAAACACCAAAGCTTTGCAAAAGTGGCTTCTGCTCCTTCGGCAAAACAAAAAAAAAAAAGGAGTGCACAGGCAAGAAAGTGAGCGTCACCTCACTTCTCAGTCTTCCACTTTAAATTCCCTTTCAACCCACTAGAAGCCCGCAGCGAGCATAAAAAAAAAAAAATCAGTAAAATCTCCTAATAGACAGGTAAACGCCAGACACTCGTGTCCCCACGTGTCCCTGGCGGGTCGTACCTCGAGAGCCGAAGCCCTTCCCTTCCAGCCGACGCGGTGTCCCCGCCTAGAAGCTCCGGCACGTATTTAAATTTGGGTGGGAAAGGGAAGAAGGACTAATTCAGTCATTTTCGGTGCTAATCAATATGAAAACCAGATAAAAGGAAAAAAAAAAGGCCAAGACAAAGACCGCGCCCAACCGTTACCAGAAGCTGTTACCTCGGTGCTTTTTTCCCTCTAGGCCAAACACCCAGTATTGTAACCCAAGCGACCACACACCTCATTTCCCTTCATTTCCCCACTTTAAAAACCTGCTCGGTAAGTACAGGAATGAGTTCTGGGTTGCCCAGGTCTCTCTTTAGCACGTAATCCCGTCTCTCACACTCGACTGGCTGCACAAACAGAACCGCGCTACCCAGCCCAGAGTCGTGGCGGTTTACAAAACACCTGCGGAAGACGCGAGCCAGAAACGGATTTTGTAAAAGGCAGCAGAATCCTGCCACCGTAAAAACCACCCAGATGGCAAATACTCTTCACCTTCCGCTTCAAAAAGTGAAATAAGCCCAGTCGTTAATGGCATTTACTGGAATGTCTCGAAGAAGGCTGCTATGAGGAAGTCTCGATGACTCACGGGAAAAAAAAAACTCATAAAATTTTATATATAAATCACGTTAACGCCCTTTAAGCCTAAAATTGTACAAGGGATTGGACATACACGGGGAAGCAGCCTGGTCAAAACGGCAGAGCAGGGGGATATCAGTGCGGGGTCACTTCCCACCCTACCGACGCCGAGGAGCATCCTGCTGACCCTCCAGGTCTCTCCTGCTTTTCTGAAGGCAAGTGAAAGCTCCCGTTCGTCAGGTTCCGTCTCTGTTTGTGCATGAGGGAGGAGAAAAAAAAAAAA